TGATGTTCCCTCTGTGTCCACATTTCCTGCTTCTTATAAGGACACCAGTCATTGGATTAGGGCCCACCCTGATCCAGTTAGACCTCATTTTAACTTACACCTGCAAAGACCCTATTTCCAAGTAAGGTCATATTCACAGATACTCGGGTTTAGGACCTCAACATATCTTTGCAGGGACACAATCCAACCCATGACATCAGAGTAAAGAAAAGGGGGAAACGGGATGGGAGGAAAGTCAAAGTCAACATTGCCAACTCCTCCCATTGGCTGTTAGCATCAGAATCGAGCCAAGCTTGGTGAGACAGAGGAAGAAAAGAGGATGACTCTGGTGCCCACAGATGTTGAGGGCCCAGAACCATCTGGGCTGCTCAGAAATAGACCAGGGAGCTGGAGATTTGGGGCTGGCCATCGCTGCCCACTGAGTTCCCTGCCATTCTGAACTCACTATTTGGGAAGCGGCCTCACTTGCCCCCTCCAGCAAATGGGGACAGAATAATCCCTGTCCAGCCCCAGACACCCTCTTTTCCCAAGCCTTTGCATGAGCCAGTCCTTCTGCCTGGATCCCTCTCTCGATGCCACCCCTCCTCTTACTAGGCCAACTCCTGCTTCCTCAGGTCTCTGCTCAGCTGTCCCATGCCCCACAGAGTCCCCCCCTCCCCAGGGACCTGGGCGATGCCTCTACTCTGATTCCTCATCTGTGGTCCTGGAGAGACTTTAAGTCCATGAGGGCAGTGAGCACCATGGTCCCAACTCCAGATCGTTAACTGCACTTTGGTCAAATGTGTGAATGAGTGAAAGCTCTTTGTAAACTCTGTTTCCTTGCCCTCCTTCCTCCTCCCTGGGGGAGATCCCTTCTTTTGAAAGAAAGTAAGAAAAGAACTATGCTAAGAAGGCTGCCATGAGGCCTCCCAAGGTGGCATTTGTCTTGTTTTCCCGTGGGCCCTAGCCCAAACCAGAAACTACATTCCAATAAACTCAAGTAAGAGTTGGGGCGGAGAAGGGAGGAAAGCCACAGGCCCTGAGGCCTCAGTCCCAGAGCGCGCCACATCACAGAAGCACGGCCTGAAACCACAGATGGGATTAAACGGAATTCTGCTCTTCACCTGCCTCTCTCAAAGGATATAAAAGAGATTTCAGTCTGTAACCTGTGACCACACCTCACTGATCCCCTTTTGTCTCAGCCCCCAGTTCTCTCAAGTCCTACACTTCAAAGCCACACATTTCCCACAATCAAAAAGAAAAACAAAACCTTGGTCCACCCCCAGCTTGGCTTGTTTCTCCCTCTCTCTCTCTCTCTCTCTCTCTCTTCTTCCCACTCCTTCTCAATTTTTTTTTAACTGTGGTAAAATGCACATAACATAAAATTTACCAGTTTAACCATTTTTAAGTGTACAGCTCAGTGGCATTTGGTATGGTCACAATGTTGTGTAACCATCACCACGATCCATCTCCAGAAGTGTTTCATCGTCCCAAGCAGAAACTCTGCACCCGTTAAACACTAACTCCCATTCTCCTCTCCCCCCAGCCCCTGGGAACCCTAACCTAGCTTCTGTCTCTATGAATTTGACTATTCTAGGTACCTCACGTAAATGGCATCATACTATATTTGATCTTTTGTGTCTGGTTAATTTCACTGAGTATCATGTTTTCAAGGTTCATCTATGTTGTAGCACATGTCAGAATTTCATTCCTTTTTTATGGCCACCTAATATTCCATTGTATAGCTAGACCACATTTGTTTACTCATTCATCTGTTGATGGACACTTGAGTTGTTTCCTCTTTTGGCTATCGTGAATGATGTGGTTATGAATATTGGGGTACAAGTATCTGTTGCAGTCTCTGTTTTCAATTCTCCAGGGCATACACTGAGAAGTGAAATTACTGGGTCATAAGATAATTCTATATTCAACTTTTTGAAGAATTATTTTGCACAAACTGCTTTCCACAGCAACTGCACCATTTTTCATTCCCACCAGTAATGCACTAGGGTTCCAATTTCCCCACATCCTCATCAAGACTTCTTATTTTCTGTTTTCTCATGATAGCCATCCTAGAGGGTGTAAAGTGTGGCTTTGATTTGCTCCAGGCCACTTTGATTTAAGTAGTCGAGGATCCTCTTTGTAACACCCCACTGCTGGCTGGCTCAGCTCTTAGCTCCCAATTCAAAGTCCAATTGGCTCAGCCAAGCCCATGGATTGATTCTTTTCGAGTCAGGTGTCTACTCCTGGTCCAACCAGCCAGGGGGTTGGAGGGAGGCAGTCCGTGGGGCTTCCTTTTCGGGGAATGTTGTGAGGGCTGCTGGCAGCAGGCAAGAGCAGACTTGTGCAGTGTAGACAGTGGTGAGCTGTGGACGTAGTGGTAGGAAGGAAGCATGAGTCCTGTAGCTTGGTCACGAGGAACTGGCCCTCAGAGATGTCAAATTGTCCACATACCAGGAGGGGAGCCATCTCTTATAAACAAACTCAAGTTAATAAAGCTCTCGGGCCTTGGGGTGGCTAATAGATTTTTTTTTCCTTCACAATGATTCTTCATTCATTTAGAATGAGAAGTAGATGGGCCAGGAGGACAGCCTGCTGCATACAAGATCTGTGCAGGCTCTCCCCATAGCCATGCCCCATAGGAAGCCAAGTTTGAATCAGAGATTGTGGTGAGGGTGGCATGAGAGCAAGGGGAACAAGGGACCATGAGGCAGGCCCCTCTCCTTGCCCACGGCAGGGGCAGCTCTGCCAACAGCTGGCTTTTTATGTTTCTTTTATTTTATGCTCTTGGATGGAAGCTCTCAACAGTGTGGAGACGCCAATCCCTCTCTGAAGATTTGATGGGAGCCGTGGACCCACTACCCAGAAAACCCCACATAAACACACAGTGTGGTATTCAGTTTGGTGGATTGAGACAGTGCTGTGCATTCAATTCCATTTCCCTTCCCTCCTGGGCACACAGGAACACCGCATCACCCAGCTTCCCCATGGTTACGTGGGAACAGGTGACTGACTTCTAGCCAATGAACTGAAGGCAGAATTGAGGGACGCCACTCTCAGGCCTGGCCCCCAAAACCTCCCTCACTATCTCCCACTCTTTCTCTCTGTGCCCTGCTGGCCAGATGCAGAGGGTCAGGGGAGGACTCTGAGGCCTGGGCGATGGCCGGGCAAGCAGAGGGAGGAACCTGGGCTGCGGAGGGACTATGTGGACCAGAGCCTCCCCAACCGAAGCCACCCTGCTCTGTGCTATGGTGTGAGTGGGAAATAAACCTGTGTCACAGAAGCCACTGGACTTGAGGGCTCTTTCTTACAGCAGTTAAACCCCTCTGACCAACAAACTGCTGGAGGCAGCTGTTACTGAACCAGGTTCATTTTGCCCATCTCACAAAAAGTCAACCACCAAGATGGCAAGTTTGCAGCGGACAAAGGGTTTATTCACAAGGCAGCCAAGCAAGGAAACGGGAGAACAAATCTCAAATCTACCTCCCTGAAAAATGAAGATTAGGGATAGTCATGGGATACAGGGCAGGGTGGTCTGATGTGTAGGATAGGTGGTTGGAGTTGAGGAGAAGCGGGGTAACTGATGGTCTGCTCAAACGTAGTCAAGCTTCCTACCTCCTCACAGGACGCATGTTTACAAAATGGTGGCTTTAGCACGATCTGAGGGTGGAGTTTTCGGGCCCCTGACATCAGGAGGTCACTTATTGGTCACCTGCTCAGGCCCAGTTGATGAGTCAGTGGTCTTAACCGGCCTGAACTGGACAAGCGGTCCACTCTCAGGTCCTGAAAAACTTAAGTACCTGTTACCACGGTGACCCCAGCGTCACAGATGTTATCTATAGGCTGGGCTTGTCTAAGTACTTTTGCAAACAGACAACTGAGTATAGTTAAAGCAACTTGACCCTGGTTTCACAGCCAGCCACGAACCCCCACTCTGCTGCTCAGTCAGTCCTGATTGTGTCCAAACTTGATTGTCTCCAGCTCGGCTCATTCGTGTAACATTTACTAAACTGTAAGCACCTCCCGCTTCCACCCTCCTGAGGTTGTATGCGAGCCATCGGGTTGCTAATCTTCCGTCATACATTTACACACTCTTGGTCAACTCCCAGGATGGCAACTGTGTTTGTCGTACTGACAAGGGCTTGAGGCCAACAGAAACTACATGAATCCCTGAGTGACCTCAAGGATGTCACTTGAGCATCCTGTGTCCAAAGGTACTAATTCCTGCCCCGCCCACGGCATGAGTGTCGGAGCACTTCCTGGACTACAGAGGCCTGTGAGCCTCCGCTGGAGAGGGCTCCTCAGCAATCAGAACAACTGATCACCAAGGTGGTGGCCGCTGAGCTGAGGCTCTACTCCCTGCGCTCACCATAGCGTCTGCCCTTGTCAGGTGGTGAGCTTGTCCTTGGACGTGCCCTGCTCCGTAGGGCCTGACCTGAGAGACTCTGCAGCTGCAGAGGACAGTTTCTTTCTCCTGAACCACTAGCTGTGCCTCGGCCCCTACCCCGGAGGGGTCCCCAGGGGACACAGGCAGCATCGCTGTCTGAGAGCTGCTCTGGAAATCTCAGCCTCCACATCCTTGTCTTAGATTCTTGGGGCATTTTGGTATTTTCATTGTTTCATGTAAACGCTCCTCTGACTAATGCCAGCCATGTGTCCACAGAACCAGAGGCGTTTTCTGAGGGAAAGTATAAGGAGGGAGTGGGAAGTGGGTGGCCTAGGAGAGTCCTGGGTTTGCCCCTCCGGTGCTTGCCCTGGGTCAAGAGCAGGCAGGAAGCTCTCGAGGGCATTGCACAAGAACAGAGGAGGCTTGAGAGGCCTGGGTGGAGATGGGAGGGGGATCACTCTGGCCGCCCTGACCCTGCCTCAGTTGCCCTCCCAGATCCCAGAGAGATCGGGCCAGATATGGAGGCTCAAAAGCACCCTGGTTGGAAGGAGCCAGGAGCCCAGGCCCATGGGAGTTAGGGGAGGGGGCAGAGAGCAGGACAGGGCAGGAGACAGGGAGGAGTGGGGGCAGGCAGGCAGGAGTGCTGGGAAGAGCTGGGGCTCAAAGTCCCTGGAGGGTCCTTCAGGGAAAGGCAAACACTGGGTCCTGCTGCTCCCATGGAGCCCTGGCCCCGCCCCCAGCTATAAGGGCCCCGGGCCCAGGCAGGGTGTCCAGGCTGTGGAGGCGTCATGGCCAAGTCACACCTGCTGCTGTGGCTGCTGCTGCTCCCCACACTCTGTGGCCCAGGCTCTGGTGAGTGTCCCCAGCCTCTCCTCACCTCCCTCCCAGCTGGGCCAGGTGCGGAGGGGACATCGCTGCCACCTCCACTTCTTACTGAGCTCTGGCTCCATGCCAGGCATTGTGCCTAGTCTGTGCATTATCCTCATTTTAAAAATGAGGAAGCTGAGGCTCAGAGAGGCTCCAGGGCTTGGCACAAGGTCACACAGCTGGTGGGCACGAGAGCAGGTGAAACTCAGAGCTATCTGACTCCTGCATGTTTAACAGCCATGTGCTCCCAGTAAAATCGGGTTTGGAGGATGGGTGAGGTCAGAGCACCAGGTGTGGCCTGGATCCCAAGGTTGCTTTGGCTCCAAACTGCAGCTGTCTGGACAACCTCATCGCTGGCCTGTGCCCAGGGCCCTGAGTTCTGGTGCCAAAGCCTGGAGCAAGCATTGCAGTGCAAAGCCCTGGGGCACTGCCTACAGGAAGTCTGGGGACACGCAGGACCAGTGAGTACCACCTGAGCATGCATGGGGACCAAAGGTCTGAGACAGAGGGAACTGGGTATGCTCTGGATGGTCCTGAGAGAATTAGAACCCCCAGTAGGGGATGTGATGGGCTGGGATGAAATGGAATGGGTTGAAATGGGATGGGATGGAATAGGATGGGATGGGAAGGGATGGATGGAATGGGATGGGCTAAAATGGAATGGGTTGAAATGGGATGGGATGGAATAGGATGGGATGGGAAGGGATGGATGGAATGGGATGGGCTAAAATGGAATGGGTTGAAATGGGATGGGATGGGATTGCGGGTGGCCGGCAGTTGCCTGTGCTTTGAAATTCCCTGTCAGTCTCTGAAAGAGCCTCACCCACCTGAGCTGGGAGCCTGTCACTCATGTGCCCCACCTTGGGCCCCCTCTCCAGGATGATCTGTGCCAGGAATGTGAAGACATTGTCCGCATCCTCACCAATATGACCAAGGAGGCCATTTTCCAGGTGATGAGGCCCAGATCCTGGATAAAGTTTCTGGGCCAAGAGATGGGAGACAGAGCAGGGAGAAGAGGTTAGCCCCATAAAGAGGCCATTTCCAGGCTGAGGGTGAGGCCTGGGTCATCTGGGGACTCCAGGCACCTCCTGGACCAGAGAGGGCCTTGGCAGTGAGCTCAGCAGCACAGGTAGAGATCATCTTTCCTGAGGGAGAAGGGGCCCTACCTGTGCCCGAGTGTACTTAACTCCTTGGCAGTCTCTGAACTCCGGTCCTGGGAGAAGGGTGGCCAGTCTGCCAGCTGGTGGCCCTGCATGCAGGGACGGGGCAGACTTCAGAGAGGACAAGCTGATGGTCCCCTCTCCGTCCTTGTTGGCTCCCATCTGCCTCCCAGGACACGATGCGGAAGTTCCTGGAGCGTGAGTGTGACGTCCTCCCCTTGAAGCTGCTCGTGCCCCAGTGCCACCACATGCTGGATGTCTACTTCCCAGTGGTCATCGACTACTTCCAGAGCCAGATTGTGAGGGCCCGCGGACCTCGCCTCCAACCTGCCTCCCCGCACAGCCCCCCATGCCTACCCACGCCCAGAGTTACCCACACACACAGCACCCAGCCCGCCACACATACACACGCACACACACACACACAGACCCTGCCCACAACCAGCCCAGGAAACACACTGCCCCTCAGCCAGGTCCCCAGATCACAGCCCCATCTGCTCACCTGTACACAGTGGGCCTGTGCACTTACAAACAGCCACACACCCCCTCATACCCTTCACGCAAGTAAACACAGTCACACACATAGCACACACTCAGTCTCACATAAAACCCACACTGTTACACACTCACACTTACACTCATGCTTACACTTATTCATTCTCACAAACATTCGTGCTCACGCTCATTCACACACATTCCCAGACACCCGCCCCGAAGTCCCCACCTGGTCCATCTCTGCCTTTTGTCTCCCTCCACACCCACCACAGAGCTCTAAACCACAGCCCCCACCCGGCCTGCTCCCCTGACTCCAGGCCCAAAGCCAGCGGCCCTAGTCCCTGAGTCCTTGAGCAGCCTGAGCAGGAATGGGGTTCCCTCCCGCATCCTAACCACCCCCTCACCCTGCGTTGTGCCCTAGAACCCGAGGGCCATCTGCAAGTACCTGGGCCTGTGCAAACTTGAGCGTCCAGAGCCAGGGCTGGAGCCAGAGGGATTGAACCCTCTGCTGGACAAGCTGGTCCTCCCCGAGCTGCCTGGAGAGATACCTGGGCCTCAGACACTGGTGAGGGAGGCCCCTCACACTGCTGGCCCCTCACACTGGATAGGTGGGGATCCAGAGAGCTAGGGCCACAGTGGAGGCCCATGAGTACTTGGGCCTTGGGAGGGGCAAAGCAGGGAAGGGGACAAGCAACTCCAGGCAGGGCCTAAGGCAGGAGCGACAAGGGGAGGGGGAGGCAGAGCCCGGAGGATGCCTTTTCCCGTGCCCAGCCCAGCCTCCGCCCGTGATTCTCTCCCCCAGGATCTCTCTGAGCAGCGGTTTCCCATCCCCCTCCCCTTCTGCTGGCTCTGCAGGACTCTGATCAAGCGGGTCCAAGCTATGATTCCCAAGGTGAGGCGTCCAGGGGCCCCCAGAGGTCCAGCTTCCCCCACCCCTGTCAGGGGCCAGCTGGCTGCCAGAAGTAGGAGGGGACCCATTGGTGCATTGTCCCCAGTAGGTGCCAGGCCTAGAGTACATTCAACAAATGTCAGGCCCCCGCTGTGTGCCAGGCACTATGTCAGGCGTCAAAGTACGAAAAAGGACCAGACCCAGGCTTGCCCTCCGGCGGCTCACCATCTGATGAAGAAGAATCCTAGTGGTCTCTCTAGAAAAGCTGCTTTAATTTTTCAAAAGGAGAACTTCCACAGATGGTCTCCCCATCCCCGCCTGCGCCGAATGTGGAGTCTTCCGGACCTGTACTGACCACTGCCCGAGGGCCCCGTTAGCCCAGAGCTCCCCCGCCCTGAAATGGGGCCCAGTGAGGAGAGCCCCTGACCCACCAGCCCTTTCCATCTGGTCAAGGAGGGCTCCAGCAGCCGATGAGGTCTCCGCTTTCCCAAGTTTGCCTTGTGGTAGGAGAGATTTTTTCAGATAGTGATAAAGGCAGAGCAGAGAATTAAAACATATGAAGTGAGGGACAGTGACGGGAGAGGGGGTTAGGCTGGTTGGTCAAGAAGAGTGTCTGAGGAGGTGATGATTAAGCTGGGACCTAGAGGACAAGACCCTTATGGGCCACAGGCCTCGATGAAGAACGAGCTTGGCAAGCCAGAGGAACAGAAAGCCGGCATGGCTGCAGCAGGTGGGCCACAGGGAGAGTGGTCGGAGAAGGGACCTGAGGGGAAGGCATGGCCAGGCCATGTGCAAATGTCTAAGTCAAGTTAAGAAGCATTGGACTTTATTCCCAATGCTATTTACAGCTGTGGAAGGGTTTCAACTGGGGGATGCCATGGTCTGAGTTGCACTTTAGAAAGATCACTGTCCTGCTGTTTGAAGGATGGGTTGGGCAGATGGGAGGCAAGAATGAAAGCAAGGAGAGTAATTAGGAGACTATTGCAGACAATCTCAATGAGAGAAGATAGGGGTGGAGGTAAGAGGTGGACTGGGGATATGTTTGGGAGGTGGCTCAACAGGACTTGGTTATAGGTGGGACCTGGGGAGTGAGGACAGGTGAGGAATCCATGATGACTTCATGGACTTCGGCTGGAGCAACCAGCTCTCTGGTAATGTCACCAGCTGAGATGGGTAAACTTGAGAAGAAACTGGTTTGGGCAGAAAAATAACATGGCTAGAAGCCCTCTCCGAGTCCTAAGCCCCAGATGGCAGTACAACATGCAAGAGGAGATGTCGAGCCTTAGGGGAAAGGTCAGGGGCAGAGATATCAATCTAAGAGTCTCTGGCTATGGACAAGATTTAAATCCAGGGGAGAGTGGGATCATCCATGGTCCATCCCAGGGACGTGGTATGGCCAGGGTGGAGGAGGAGTCCTGGTCAAACAGAGGGAAATGCCAGCAAAAGAGCCCAAGGAGGGCCAGCCAATGAAGTGGGGGACACCATGGTGTGATGCCACGGAAGCTGAGAGGAGAAAGTTCTCCCTCCCTTTTGAGGAGGGAGTGGTCACCTGGGCTGAAAGCTCCTGCTGGATCAAGACAAGGCAGGACTAGGGGATTGGGAACAGGGAGGTTGTTGGGGGCCTCGAGAGCTGTTTTGAAAGCATGATGGGGACAGAAGCCCAAATGCAGTGGGCTCCAGGGAGAATGGAGGGGAAGAAATGGAGCAGCAAGTATTGACAACTGTTTCAAGAAGTTTTTCTGGGAAGGGGAACAGAGATGGGTGAGGCTTTTTAATGACAGAAGCTATTTTAACATGTTTATATGCCAATGGGAGAAGTAATGAGGCAGAAGAGAGAGGATAATGCAGGGATGAAGCACTTGTGAAGGGGGAGCTGGGGGGACCAGTGCATGAGTGGACAGGCTGGCCTTTGACAGAGCAAAGATCACTCATCCATCATCGTTGTAGCAGGAGGGGAGGCAGAGTGTGGGTTCCAATGCCAGCAGGTGGGTGAAATGTACCCATCTGGAACACATCACACCCAGAGAGTTGCACTTCCCTGTGCCCAGCTCCCACCTCAACCTTGCTGGCCCTGGGAGACAGTGGGGGCTGCAAGCAGGAGCCGGGCCAAGGTAAGCCTGTTGCACATGGGTCCTTCCTACAAGTTGGTTGAGTGAATAAAGGAGGGAAGGAATGAGCTAGCATGCTTGCTGCCTCTCTCCTTGCCCTTCACCTTGGAGGTTGTGTTTGGAATCAAGGTCAGGTGGGGAAACTCCCGGCTTCCCCCAGGGACTCCTGCAACCAGGGACAGGTTGGCTCTGGGAGCCACAGACAGGAGTGAGGCCACCTGTGGGGAAGCACAGCAAGCCCTGGGTCAGGAGGGAGAAGACACAGATCACGTGCCATCTCTGCCCCCGGCTGCCAGGTGGCCTTGGGATGCCCACCTCTGTGGGCTAGCTATGCCACTTTCAGCGATTCCAGAGCCTTTGAAGTCAGAGCTGGACCCCCAGCCTGGCTCCAGCACTCGCTTGTGACTCTGGGCAAGTCCCTGGACTCTCTGATGTCCAGTGTCCTTATCTGTAAACAGCATAATCATTTACCCTCTGAGAAGGGAACAAAAGAAAGTCTACGAAATGCCCAGTGGGCACGGAGTAGATCTTGCCAGAGAAGGTCCCACCGTGCCCTCTCTCGACCCCCGCCCCAGGGTGTGCTGGCCGTGGCTGTGGCCCAGGTGTGTCACGTGGTACCCCTGGTGGTGGGTGGCATCTGCCAGTGCCTGGCCGAGCGCTACACTGTCATCCTTCTGGACGCACTGCTGGGCCGCTTTGTGCCCCAGCTGGTCTGCGGCCTCGTCCTCAGGTGCTCCAGCGAGGATGGCACTGGCCCAGGTGAGCCTGCCGCCCCAGCCCCTGCCTACTGTCCGTCTCATCCTCTGCCCCCTCCCTTGGCCCTGCACCACCCTATCCCTCTCCTATCCCCCTGCACCACACCAGCAAGAACGGAAACTGAGTACCTCTGCAGGGCAGCCTTGACTGTTTTCTCTCTAGCCCTCACCGCTCTAGGGTCCCTGCCGGGAAAATGGCTATCACAAGACTCCAAGTGCCAGCTCTGCCTGTTTGTGACCACCCAGGCAAGAAACAGCAGCACGCAGGCCATGCCACAGGCAATGCGCCAGGCCTGCCTCGGCTCCTGGCTGGACAGGCAAAAGGTGTGGGGAACTTAGGACCCAGGGCGGGTGGAGGGTTGAGCTGAGAACGGCTTCCCAGCCAGAGACTCACAGGGTGGGCCAGACCTCTGCCCTTGAGGAGCTCAGACAGGACATGGGCCAAACAACGGTGGGACTGTGACTCAGAGCAAAACCTGCTCGATTCAGGAGTCACCTCTGGACAAAGGATGTGGGCTGGGAGAACCCGCAGGCCTCCCTCATGGAAAAAGAGCGTGGCCAGTTTACCAGGAGACGAGTAATGCCAAGGGCCAGGGCCAAAGGGAGCGGGAGAGGGCCTGGCCTTCTCTCCAGGGTCCTGGTCCTGTCCCAGCCCCATCCCTCCTCCCATTGTGACTCACTGGGGACAAACCCACCTGCAAAAGGAGAAGGCTGGGCTCGAAGGTCCTAGAGTCGCAGTACTCAGAGCCGATGACAGTGAATTCCCTTTAACGTACGATGCCGAGGCCAGCCTGCTGACTGCCGTCCCAGGAGGCAGCTTCCGCAGGGTACTCCTCTGCTCCATAACTTTCAGGGTTCCCTGCTGCCTACCACACCAGATCTCAAAGACCAGATGAGCTTGAAGGTTTCTTCTAGGACTGAAATTTGGGAGGAGGGGAAGGTGGGGGCTAAGATTCAGCCCCTGTGCCTGGGTTTCAAGACCCTCCATCTCCAACGTTCCTGGCTTTCCCGACAGAAACCCTCCATTTCAGCCCACACAGGGTTGTTCAGTCTTACTTATAGCCTGAGCTGCTCAGAGGGGGCCGATGGCCGGACCTACAGCGGGTCAAGGGGGAGCCCTGGAGTGATCCAGATAAGTGGAGAGACCAGGACGGCAAGGCAGGAGAGTCCTGCAGTGGGCCCGGTCCACCCCACATCCATTTGTCTGTCTCCTTCCTCAGTGTGAGCAATTTTTGGAGCAGCACATGCCACAGCTGCAGACCCTGGCATCCAGGGGCTGGGCTGCCCATGCCACCTGCCAGGTATGCCCGCCCCTGCCCACTGGTCCTAGCACCTTCCTCAGTTCCCAGAGCCCCACCCTCTCTGGTGCATGATCCTCAGAGGTCCCACTCCTCTGGGTCCAGAGCAGCCCCAGTAGCACAGGCCTAGGCCTGGGAGGTGCCCCCCACTGCTTTAATATAGAAAAGGCATCTCAGAGCGGTCAAGAAAAGGCTACAAAAGAATGGAAAGGAGCAGTATGGGAAGGGAGGGGGCAGCTTTAAGGAGTGTGGTTTGATGCACATTATGGGATGGAGGTTGTTCACAGAGCAGTGTGTGCCTGGCAGTGGGTGCACAGTGGGGGTTCTGGGGCGAGCATCCCATCTTCTCCAATTCTAAACCGAGAAGGCCGGGGCTCGGAGCACCCAAGGAGTTAACCAGGTTACACCAAAAGTACCCACCAGGTGGCAGGTGGAGAGCTCTCCTTTCCAGGAGAGGCCTCCCCATCCCTCTCAGAGCTTGGAATGGGAGCAGGGTTCAAGGCCTCAGGCCCTAATGCTGTCTCTGTGCAGGCCCTGGGGGTGTGTGCAACCACGTTCAGTCCTCTCCAGTGTGTCGGCAGCCCCCACTTCTGATGAGAACTCAAAGCTGTACCAGGTGAGTCCAGGCTCCCAACTGGGGGGAGGTTGAAGGGAGCACATCCCACACCCATCAGAGGAGGGCCCCTGTTCCCCAAGCAGGAGGCGGGAGCCACTGCTGCTGGTTGCTCCATCCTCCTCACAGGCTATAACTCAAGGCTCCTGAGGGCCCCTGGCGGCACCAGCACGAGAGTGACCTCTCTCAGACCCCACCCACTCCCTCTCCTCAGAATCCTTGCTGCCCTCAGTGCCAGGCCCAGCTCTCAGCTTCCTTGCCCTGTCCCAGCCCTCAGGAGAGCTTCAGCTCCTGCCTGAGGCTTTCCCTTCACAGCTCACCCTCCGGACTCCCTGATCCTCAGTATTTAATGTGTTCAGACCAAGGCCAAACTTTCCTGAAACTCAGGGGACATCAGACTTCACTGCCCAAAGTGTCATCCCCTCAGATGCCAGGAACTCCGCCATCATCTGTCTCCTCCCTCCTGAGACACATTTCTCTCTCCCTCTCATTGTCTAAGTCAGAGGTAGCACCTTAGGATGCAGGGGTGGGTCAGATGCAGCCTCTGTGACCAGGTGCCTCAGGGCAGGGAAGTGACGCTGAGAGGGACAGACATGGCAACAGTGGGCTCGAAGTGCCCCAGAGCAAACTTGGTTGACTTTACAATTCTGCTCAGAGCAAGCCCCTAACGCAATGGTCATTATTCACTTCTTCGCTCATTTTAAAAAAAATGTAGTGAGTGCCTGTGGCCAGGCCACATTCTAGGGACAAGAACTAGAGGTGTGAATAAAACAGGGAGCCCCCCGCCCTCCAGGAGCCCTCCTAGAATCACAAGTCTCTGTGGGAGGCAGTGGGGAGGAAATGTCTGCCCCGACCCAGACCCATCCCACAGGGACCTGTTTAATGTTATCCCTCCCCCACTGATGAGCAGGGCTCCCGGCACCAGGAAGACCTGAGCCTTTCATCCCTGTTGAAACAGGAAGAGCAGTGGCTTGGCACGAGGGGCCTGGGCTCTGGTCCCAACTCTGCCATCAATTGACCACGGGTCCCCAGCCAAGAGATGCCACCACCTCTCTGGCCCTCATTCTCCTCAGCAGCAAAGAGGTTACCAAGTGAAGCGGTCTCCAGGACTCGAGCTCTCCCACATGACAAAGCTCCTCCTCACGTTCCCTGCCCCCACTGAAAAGAAGCCTTCACTGCTATGCTCACCGTCCCCACCTCCTTTCCTCAAAAGGACCTTAAGCTGGTGGGCCACGAACCCACAGCTTGTGCTCTCAGGCCAGTGTCTGTCTTGTCTGTGCTATCTCTAACCACAGCCTGAAACCACAGTCACTTCCGTCCTCTCCGGGTGTAGGGCAGCGTCTTCTGGAGGAGGTCTGCCAGAGGTGGGGCTTCCAGCTTGGGCCAGCTTCACAGTGGACCGGAGCCAGCCCAGCTCCACAGCCCCTCAGGGTTGGGCCGAGGGGAATTTGGCCACCCGAGCCCAGGAGGACAGCAGGGCAGACGGTGGCCCTGCCTCACTCCCATCTCCATGTGCACAAGATACTAGCTTTTACAATTGTTTTGCTAACACTTTCACAAAATTTAAAATTCAGAAGAATAAAAAAATGGGAACGTAAGTTACCATGAAAGCTAAGCGTATGAAATCCTTAAACTTATTTAAAAAATCAGGAAATCCCTGGCGTGGTCAAGAGAGGACATGGCAGTGTTCAGGCATGGTGGGAAGGTGGTCGGGCAAATTTTCATATCTGAAATCTGCTGCTGCTGAAGAGCTGTCACTTTTAAGATGTAAAAAGGGGTTTTCCTTTTTTATGTCTTTCTAAGGTGAACTTCCAACTTTTGTTAGAAATTGCAGGGTGATTCAATTTCTGCTATGATTTATCTCCTCAAAGCTCAGTTGGGGCTGTGCATGCTCTGAATCAGTTCCTATGTAATGCAATGCCTATAATAATGCTAATAAAGTCCTATTTCCTTGTACTAAAAAGAAAAAGACACTGTCCTTTAAGATGCTGCAGCAGCTGCAGCCTCACTCTGAAGGGAGCCACTGGGAGCCCACCTCACTCTCCCCTTTGACGGAGAAGCAGACGCCCACATCGCCTCTCCCTCTTACAAGTGCCTCCAGCGCGGCCCCCACCTGTTACCTTCCCCTCTCCCGAAGAGTCCACTCACTGTGACAAGGTGAGGTTGTCAGGGTACAAAAAATCAAAACATACCAAAAAACAGATAAAGAATCCTTTAGCATTAAAGACCTAAATGTCTGGAAGAGTTCCTTTATTTATAAAAGAACTTTTGTGGTATTCCCTATTATAAAAGAAATGTGTTTCTCGTAGAAAATTCAGAAACTGCAGACCAAAAAAGAGTGGAAATCACCCACAACCCTCCCAGTCCTGGGAGAGAACTATAGAAGGATGTATACTTTGACACTGAGCTAGACGTTTTCAATCCATTTTCCCCACACCTCCACCTTCAGGCACCAGGGAAAGCTTTCTATACAACCTGCTCCTGGGGTAGGGCTGATGCACACAAATTCTTGGCCTCTGAATTTGAACTTTTAAGTAAATTTTTGTAAATCTATAGCAGACTACTGTCTTGAAAGCCATTATTTCCATTTCAAAAAGCCCCAAGTCCCTGAGAGAAGAGTGTTTTAAATTCTTTAAAATGGCTGGTTGGGAAGATGAAGCGCCTAGGCCTGAAGGAGAGGCTTCACTCAAAAGGAGAGCAGGAGTTAACCAGCTGGTGGGAGGAGAGAAGTGGCAGGAAGTGGCTAGGGCTGAGACTCAGAGGGTCCCTGAGACGCGCCCAGCATCCTGCATCCCAAGAGGAAGGTGGGGAGGGAGGAGCCCCAGAAGGGGTGAGGCCCCAAGAGCAGAAGGGACTTGATCTTCACTTTCCAGGGTGTGGTGTGAGGAGAACAAGAGTCCCTTAGAGAAGGCTGCCTCCAACGTGACACCACAGAGGGAAGAGCACAGCCTCAGAGAGGGACCTAAACAGACAGGCGGAGGCCCTCTTCAGGGAGCGCCCCCAGCATGACACAGAAGAGCGATCACAGCCCACGGCCCAGGGGGCTGTCAGAATCAGCTCTGGACAAGACGGCGAGCCCCCGAGAGCCCCCGTGACTGGAGACAAAGCACTGACAGATTTTGCGGACCTTGAGAGGAGCAAAAGTCAGACATGTGTAGCCAATGGCAGCACAAGGGGGAGATAAGGCAAGATGAGCGACGCTTCAGTGGAGACCTGGAGGACCAGGGAGACCAGTCATGACATCCTCCTCATGACAGGGCAATTGGTAAATCATTCCCAGGGAAAAGGCAAGGAGGATTCTGTGATTATTTATCCAAGAGGGGCTGCGTATTAAACAACAAGGGATGGAGTTATTTTCAAATGGAATTACTAAGTTTTGGGGGCTAATGAGCCAAGTGAGTTCAGTTATAGAGAAATAAAGACAGTTACGTTTTGTCCCCCTGATTAATGACTGAGATTTAAAATCCAAAACACAATCACTATAACATTATTTATCATTCCAAGCCTTTCTCTGCACATATACAAAGAGATGTAACAGATTTACAAAAATGGGAACATTCTATACATGCTTCTTTGAAAACTGCTCTGTTCATTTAAAAATAACCTTTCCAGGTCAACAAATGTAGATACTTATATTACTGCTACTTGCTGCTGACTTTCTTGATATAAGCGCTTTCCTTTTTAAAACAATTATTATCAACAATGTTGTGAAGAATAAGAATCCTGGCACTTTATCTTTGTTTACTATTCTATTTATTAGAATCAATTCCAAGACACAAAATTTTGGGGGATGAAAACTATGCACACCTTTACCTTTAATACATGATGTATTACCAAACTGCCCCCTCTACCAGCCACACCAATTTCCATCGCAATAGTAAACAAGTGTCTCTTTTCCACTCTCATCAACCCTGGGTATAGCAATCTTTCAAATCTTTGCTAATCTAAAATATAAAAATGACCTCTCTGGTTATTCTAATTTGCATTTCTTTGGTTACTAAGTAAAAGTAAACATTTTTTTTTTACATGTTTATTGGCCATTTGTATGTGATCTTTCATGAAATTTCTATTTGGGTTTTTTGTCTGATTTTCCATTGGAGTGTTCTTTTTATTATCTTTCCAGTAAACGAGTATATCAGGTATACTCATTTATTTACTGTCCTATATGTTGCAAATTTTCTATCTATCATATGTCTTTTAGATTTAGGATATGTTTTCTATGTATCTATCTTCTCCTTTGTGATTTCTGGTTAAGAAAGCACGAATTTCACTTCTTTCTCATCTGTGGTTAGAGTGGCCAGAACATGAGGTTTCCAAAAGTGGAAGCATATGGTGGGATCAGTACCGTAAAGACATGCGGGCCAGGCCCCTGGCTCAGACAGCAGTGGTGGAAGCAAGCCATGTGTCAACCACAAGGACGTTAAGCTACTGCACACAGGACATGACAGCTCTAAGCTGTGGTCCCCAACCTTTCAGGCAACATTATCTATTGTCAACCTCTTGGGAGACCGTAAAGAGACAAAATCATCTGTGCAAAAGAAGGATACAGAGAACAGAGACTTAGTACCATGCCATTTGCTCAACAATCACTAGTGACTGACTCCTAAGTGCAAAGCATTTCCCTAGAGCTGGGCACAAAAGAAAACAGTTCCTGTCTGCCCTTTGGGAACTCAGAGTCTAGCTGGGAAGACAGACATTAATCACAGAATCACAGAAAAAAATGGAATACTTCAGGTGCGATAAGTGCTATCAATTAGAGACACACATGATACTAAGTGGATACGAGGCGTCAGAGAGGTGAAGAGGATCAAGGAGCATCCCTAGCAGAGGAAGCAGATGGCACAAAGGGCTGTGGCTCATCTGAGCAACAAAACGAAGGTCAGTGAGCCTGGGATGGAGGACCGCGAGAAACCTCCCCAGAGGAGAGGCCAGAGAGGCTAGGAATTTCAGTCTTTATCCTCAGAGCCAATGAAGTGTCTTAAGTGAGAGATCAGGGTGTGAGGGAGAGATGAATTGGTTAGATTTGTTTTTTAAAAGATTACTCTGGTTAAAGTGTGAATGAATTGGTGGAGGGGGACAAGGGAGTGTGGGAAGACCCATTAGGAGCTCACTGTAAACAGAAACCGGCAATAGCTAAGAATGAGAATGGCAGAGGGCCTGTGCAGAAATCAGATGGATCTTGGAGAGTGACTTGGGACAATCATAAATTAATCATTAATTATATAATGATCATATTATGTAATTATATAATTAATACTAAATTATATAATTAATAATAAACTATGTAATTTATATAAAAATTACATGATAATTATATATAAATCAATAAGTCAGAGGGTGACTCCAAAAGAAGGTGTTGTCCCAGATGTAGCATGTTTACTGATACAGCACAGCCCCTGGCACTTGTATACTTTATTCTCCACACCGCTTTCTAAAGATCACCAGAAGCTGTCTGCTTTCACCTGGCAGGGCCAACAGTAACCTTCACAGTATCGCCTCAGGACAATGCCAGCTCTCCCGCTCTCCACCAGAGCATAGTTCACAGACACCTTGATCGCCTTGACATTCCACAAAACATGACACTGGTCTACTACACTGATGACATTGTCATGCCTGGATCTGATGAGCAGGAGTACCAAGTACTTTAAATGTTTCAGTAACACATAAGAAAACAAGAGGGTGGGATGTAACCCCACAATTCAGGGGCCTGCGACCTCAGTGACGTTTCTGAGGGTCAGTGGTCTAGAGTATGTCAAAATATCCCCTCCAAGGTGACAAACAAGTTGCTCTACCTCCTATCACCTACTGCACACACACCCACAAAGGCGGCACAATGGTAGGCTGTTTGGGCTTTTGGAGACAACATACACCCCACTTGAGAGTGCTTTGACACATCTAGAGAGTCACTTAGAACTGTATGGCCACTAGTTTCAAGGAGACTAGAAAAAGTTTCTGCAGCAAGTTTAGGCTGCAGAACAGGCTGCTCTACTACTTGGGCCTTATGATCCAGGAGATCCAATGATATGTCCAAGTGCCCATGGCAAATAGGAACGCTGTATGGGGCCGCCGGCAAGACCCGTAGGACAATCACAGTGCAGAACTCCGGGATTTTGGAGCAAGTTTACGTCCTCTTCTTCTGCAGATACCTATTCTCCTTTTGAGAATCAGTTTCTTCTGACTAGTGACTGGGCCATGGTAGAGACTGAGCACCTAACCATGGCACATCAGGTGCCCATGCAGCCTGAGTTCCCCTCATGAACTGGCTGTGGTCTGATGCCTAGCCATGTTGCGCATGCGCAGCTACAGCCTATCATTAAATGGAACTAGCATGAGAGACCAAGCTCAGGCAGGTCCAAAAGGCACAAGTTACATGAGCAGGTGGCTCAGATTCCTTTGGTACCAACTCCTGCTGCATTGCCTCCTGGGGTATTCCTTAAGACCAGCTGACCAAGGAAGACAAAATTCAAGACTGGTTTATTGATGGATTTGCACAATACGCTGGTACAACCCACAAGTGGACAGATTCACCCCCACTCAGGGTGACACTGAAGGACAACAGTGAAGGAAAATCCTCTAGCGGGCATACTTCAGGCAGTATATTTGGCTGTTCACTGTATTTGGAGTGTGAGATGGTCACAAGTGCAGATGTAGACTAATTCTGAGCAGTTGCCAACAGTTTGGCTGGATGGTCAGGGATCCAAAAGGAACAGGATTGTGTGATTGGTGAAAAGAAAGTCTGGGGAAGAGGTATATGGAGAGACTACTTGAATGAGTATATACTATGAAAATATTTGTGTTCCATGTGAATGCCCATCAAAAGGCATGCACTGCAGAGACTCTTCATAAAAATAGGTGTACACAAATGACATGCTCTCTAATGTCAGCCAGCGGTCTCTTTCTCCAGCCATCCCCAGTGCTTGCTCAATGAGCTCAGGACCCATGGTAGTGGGGATGGAGAATATGCATGGGCTCGACAACATGGACTTCCCTTCTCCTGACCTGATTAGTACTTCTGCTGAGTATCTAATCTGCCAACAGCAGGGATTAACATTGAGCCCCTCATATGGCACTATGCCTTGTGGGGATCAGCCAGCCACCTGGTGCCAGGCTGATTACCACCTTCTATTGTAGAGGCAGAAATCCGTCCTCAGAAGAATAGAAACATTCTGGACACAGATTTGCCTTCCCTGCCCATAATGCTTCTGCCAGCACCACCATGCACTGG